TCTCCTCAAACTGAACAAAATATAGTCACTCATCATGGCATTGATTTCACAAGTGGTCAGAAAATATCTGGAGAGATATTGTGCCATGTCATCTCAATAACTGACTACAGCTTTTGTTTTGGTGGGAGGTTTTTGTGTTCAAATAGACATTTCCACCATGTCCCATAAAATGTTTAACTGTGCTGCTCTTGGGCAAATATGATGGTTACAAATTTTGTTGGAAGTTTCCAAAATGTTCCACAGACCAATTCTGAGTATCTTATGTCTAGTGGCATGGTATATTATCCTGCTGGAACAAACCCATGTTGTTGGTGTCCATAAAAGTAAGCAAATAGTCACAAATTAGTGCAAAGTAGCAGTTGCTAGTCAATGATACAGACTATTTCATGCCATGTGAATATACCCCACATCATTATGAAACCATGACCAGCTGATATAATGCCTTGTTGGCATTTGGGGATCATGCCCTCTTGATGTGTGACACATCTGGACGCCACCATCATTTTGAAACAAATGTAATTGTTACCGATCTTCCAGAATACAGTTAGCAAAGTTAAATGAGGCGCTATGTCTGGTGTTGTGAGGTACCCTATTAGGTCTTTTGCTTCCATATCCTATAATAATAAAAAAATTCTGATTTGCAGGATATGCACCCACATTGAGCATGGATGTGATTTGAGAGAGCAAACAATCTGCATCCTGCTTTAACTTAACACTTTAATCGAAAAGTCAAATGGCTTCAGTCTTGAATGGCATTTTGTCTTTTATTGAAAACACAATCAGATCAGATAAATTTCCCAGCTATCATGGATCTGCCTTTCATGTATCATTGCATTACTTTATTCAGTGAACTTTGTCTTTTATCTTGTCAAATGATAGAATCATAAGTTGTTTAAAAAAGAACCCAACTTATCTTTATTTTTTTAATAATAATCTAATTGTTAGTAATAATAATAATAATAATAATAATATGAGAACATCAACAATACCTGTTGTAGTTGGAGCCCTCAGATTGATTGGAAAAGATTCCAATAGACACATTAAAGAGATTTCTGGTAGCCTATGCCTTAAAGAAATAAAAAGAAAATGTTATCATGAGTACAGCCCACACCTTACAAAGTGTTTTTTTCTATGCAAGATATGTGACTTTTTTTAATTGCTCAGTGGAAAATGTAATGATGCCATTTCTAACCTTAAGTCTCTGGGCAGGACCTGGAAAGAAATGTGTACACACCAGAAACCAAAGGAAATAAAATAATAATAATAATAATCTACTTATTTAAATGCCAGCTAGTTTTCAGAGAGATCCTTCAAAATCTCTCTTCTACATTGAATGCCCTCTAGGTGAAAAACATTTTTTGTCATCTCCTACCTGATATAAGGATATTTGTATGTTTTTCTTTTGAATGTGATACTTAGTTTGCTTGTTTACTTCCAAACAAAACTAAATGTTTAGTTACTAACACTAGATCATAAAATCAATACACCTTTATGACAAAATTACATAAAAATACATTAATAATGCTTATCAAATCCAAACTTGAAACAAACATGAAATAAAATAAGAAAAATTCTTTCAAAGAGATTATCTTAAAATCTGACAAAAATCTTGGTTATAGAATAACATTTTTTCAAAAGGTTTGCTACCCATAATTATTTCAAAGACTTACTTTTTTTTCTGAAAGCTTTTTATACAATTTCTTTTTATCATAACTTTTTACATCAAGTTATACAATGTTTGAAGAAGTCAAAAAAATTATCCATTCACTATGAGCTCCCAGGTTGTGGAGTGTATGTTTAAGTCTTCTCAGAATTTATTTCTTCATTCTATATTTCTGTGACTTTAATTTAACCAAGAAAGTTATGATAAATACAGGTTTGATAAGAAAGACTAGTTCAGTTAAAAGATTTGTTTGGAGACACTGTAACTTTTCAACTTGTGAAGAAGACATATATGCCAAACCTGGTTGAAAGTTTTTGAGATGTTCAAACCTACAGCCCAAGATTCTCTATTCTTATCTAGGGCTTGATAGACTCTTTCCTCAATTATTGGCTGTATATCAGCAGTTGACCTGGAGAAATGAAAGTCATATTGCTTATTTGAATAAAGGCCCTGCGATGTGAGATGCTTAATCAATTCAGCATTGATTAGGGCTTCTAGAAGTTTCATAAAAAGAGATAGAGGGCTAATAGGCTGATAGCTGGAAAGGTTGGATGGTACACTTGTGTTCTTAAAAAGTAGAAAAACAAATGAGGATTTCCAACAGGCAGGAAGGGAAGAGGCTGCAAGGCATTTATTATACAGTTTAGAGAGAACAGGAGCTACTTTGGAAGCACGCTTCGTAAGGACTATTACAGAGATACCATCAGCTCTACATGCTTTGTGGGGATCCAGATTAGAGATGATAGCAGAAACCATAAAGGTTATATGCATATTACTCAACAAAGACTTAATTCTAAGTGGGAATTAGGCAAGGATACTCCTGATAAGTCAAGAGTAGTTTGAGGAAAATTTACAGGCAAAACATTCAACATTATCAGATGTTAATACCTGAAATTAATTGAAGAGAGAAAGAACAGAAAACTTACTCTGATTTAATACACTATTTTAGAACCGACAGTAATCAAAAGAACCAGAGTTGTTAGATGCAATATAGTTCCTCATTCTCTTAGCTAACAGACTTAGTTCCTTCAAGTAAATGTTTGCATTTATTATGGGCAGCCCCAAATAGGTATCTGTTGTGAAGGGAACTCTCATGTTGATTTAGCCAGAAATGGTGGTTCCATGATGTATTGAGTATGCTGGTATAAACCATGGAGAAGATTGAGGTTTCACCTGGTATTTCTGAGAAAGAATGAAAGCATCTATATTGGCTTTGACACAAGAGGAAACCTCAGTGGCACAATACTCAATTTGAAGGTTAAAAATGTCAGTGTAGTTGACAACATGAGGAAAGTCACAAAGTGAATCCCAGTCAGCATGCTGATTTGAGTAAAGGATTGAGCAATGAAAAAATTGAAAGCTTGAATACCAGCAACATTGGTAACATTAGAATGTTTAAGCCATATGTTGTGATGCCAGTTAAAATCACCAAACAGAAAGATGTTTGTAGATGGATAGAGGGAGATTGCTATTTTTATATTGTCAGAGATTATGTCTAATATACTTCAGTTCTGAGAAGAGGTGGGAGTGATAAATAAAAAAGAGATAGCTAACAGGGTGTAATAATGAAAATGGAAAGCACATGAAAGAGTTGTCTGGGGACTCGAGAGATAATTCCTTTGCCACTGGAAGATTATCCTGGATATAAACACCAAGGCTATGCATGTGGATGCTGAAATCTTTTCAGCAAAGGGGAAGATAGCCTGGAACAGAGAATTCATTGGTAGCAATGGAAGAATTTAAATTAGGTTTGCAAGTACAAGGATATCCAGTGACCGTTCCAAGTAAAAAGATTCTATACTACTGAAGATGTAACAGATGCACAAACATTGGAGAAATAAAGGTTGAGGGTTAGTAGGGGTGGTTTTTTTGTTTACTTGTTTTCTTCTATTTCTTTTCATTGTATTTGTCATGAGAAGATTTGTATTGAGGAGAAAAAGAAAAGAAAAAGGCCAACATAATTATCACTATCTGTCATCATTGGCAATACAAACTAGCCTGAACATGGAAATACATACAGGGACACCTACCCATGCATGGCATGGCACTAAAATTACCTTGATATTATGTGACTGTGGATCAGTCACATAATATCAAGGTAATCATTTTACTTTTTACATTTTTAATCATTTTACCTGAAGCAAGGCAATAAAGCCACTAAGATGCAAATGGTTGCTGAATGTGAGAGAGTATGAGAAAAAGGAAATATTATTAAGGAGAGAGAACAAGAAAAGAAGAGTAATTAAGCAGATCAAAGATAACAATTAATATTGCATTTAAATATTTGACTTGATAGGAACTTGTGTTGCAAATGCAATGTAATAATCTCATGGAGCTGAGTTGGGAAGTTCTACAAGCAATGTAATTTCTGAATTTAATTCCTTAAATAAAATGAAATTTAATACCAGTAAAAAAATACCTTACTTATGGCAGTATTGCATTTGTTAATTTTAAAATGCTACATTTTTGGATATCATACACATATCCCAGCATCCTAATTCAGTAAGAAAATTCCCTGTTTTCTTAGTTTTGCTGCAGCCATTATGGCATACTTTTAACTCTAACTTAAGTGCAATGAGGAATTATATATTTTTCAGATTATTGCTCTAATTTTTCTTGGTTTTCATTTTATTTGGTAGTCACTCCAAGAAAAATTTGACGATATTTATTTCCATATAAAGTATACATCATAAGCAGGCCATAGAATAAATTTTTCAATACACTAATAAAACAAAATAGCAAGAAAAAGAATTAAATCAGTAGTCTGAATAGCTTTTAGAATGACTCATTATAGAATATATCTTAAACAAAAGATACAATCACATTTGTGAATAATAAGGATTTATCTCAAAAATAAATATAAAAGGGCTCTTAAAAAGAACATGTTTAGTCATCTAAAGAGCTTTCAGAATAATATGGACTCATCTCAAAATTATGTTTAGTATGATATAGGAATTGATTTTAAAAGGGTTTTACCAAAACATTCCTTAACTTTCATGAAAATCACTATGACCTACTTTTGACACAATCCATCTTAGAATAGGGATTCTTGATCACCATACTCTACCCAGGGGATCCAGAAACCAAAGTTTCTAACCATCCACCCCAAAAATAAGTTGTATAAAGGAAGCCTATGTTACCATCTGTAAATTAACAATCATCAGTTTTTTACTTTCTCCCTTCTTCTAATTTAGTTGCATGTAACTAATCTAACTGCTATAGTGATGAATTTTATGAATAATAGCCAAAGGTAATGAATGAAACGTTTGCTTGTTTGGAAATCTGTGATTTCATTCAGGCTAATTCTTTAATTATTGATGATTATTTTCATTTGTAGAAGAATGATGTCAGTGATCGTATCCATACACAAGGCTGTCTTAAAGGGTTTCGGATTTGGCTCCGCAAGAATGAGATCCTCATCACCATTCTGGGAGCTCTTTTCATTGCCCCACAGGTAAGTCACACTCTCAGAAACAAATGATTTTAGCTTGCTGTTATATTTTTAGTATAGTAGTTTAAATTTTATCTATGTCAAAGAAATTATGAAATTATCATGCTAAATAATTTTTTTTATCAAGGATACAAAAATAGTTTTCGCTATTAAACCTTACAAAGAGGTAATACTTTTTTCTAACAATAAAAACTAATTGTGTCCTCACTGAGGCCAAGTCTTGGTTCACTAACAGAATGAAGCATTGAATAGCTTCTCACATATTTCACTCTCATTACTATGGGTGACTCTGTAATAGTGTGTTAAATGAGAGTAAATCCTCAATTCATTCTCTCTTCACTCAATCAGTAGTGTTATCATCATCTTCTGATAAAGTAGAATGATTTGCTTGTAAATTCTCTTCCAATTCTATTCTAGACTCATCTGGAGTATCTTTGCCTGACTTTCCAAATAAAACTGAATTTCTACTGTGTAATGTGTGCATATAACTCTACCCATAGTTTCTGCTATCAATTCTACAAACTTGATCCATACAAAGCATGCAGACTTGATGATATCTCTGCAATTGTCTATAAGACATATGCTCCTTGTTCTTTCCAAGTTCAATAATAGATGCCTTGCTTTTTGCTTTCCAGCTTGTTCGTAATCCTCTTTTCTATTTCTTGTTTTTTAAGAATTCGGATGAACAGTCTGATCTTTCAAACTATCAATCTATTAGTCATCTGCCTCTTTTTGGCAAAGTACTCAAGGATCTAATCAACTCTGCTCACCTTGCAGGGACTTCTTTCAGACAAATAATATGACTTTCAATTCTCTAGGTCAACTGCTGATGTGTTAATGATTATTGCTGAAAAATTCTATCAAGTTTTAAACAAGAATGGTAAAACTCGAGCTGTTGTTTTAGATATCTTGAAGATGTTTGACAGGGTTTGGCATTCTTGTCATCTTCATAAGTCAAAGGGTTATGGTATTTCCGGCAGTATTTTATATTTGATTCAATCTTTTTTTAGCAAATTTTGAAATTAATGTTGTTTTGAACAGGTCTTCCCACAGGGCTCTGTCCTTGGATCTATTTTGTTTATACTTTTTATCAATGATCTCAATTTCATCAGTTCTCAACTATGTATCTATGCTGATGACACAACTATTTACTCCTGTTTTAAAGCTAAGTCAATAAGGTCAAATTGGCAGCTGAACTCAGAATTGACCTTCAGTCTGTTGTTAACTGAGGCAAGAAATAGCTTGTTAATTTTAATGCCTCCAAAATGAAAATATCCTTTTTAATCATCTTAGAAATACTTTTTTGTCTTCCATCAGTATGTATGATAGTAACCTCTAGCAGAGTTACACATTGTGCCTTCTTGGTTTAATGTTTTCAGCTGACATGAAGTGGACTGACCCTATCAAATCAATTGCTACGTCTACTGATAGGAAAGTTGGTTCACTGTGTCATTTTAGATCATTTTTCTTGCTATAATCTATCTTGTGCATTCTACTATTCATACATGCATTGAATATTACTGCCACATCTGATCTAGTGCTTTAACTATGTACTTAGAGATTATTGACAAAATCCAAGGAAGTATCTGCAATCTTGTCTTCAGTCACTTACCCACCATCATAATGTAGCTTCCTTGTGTTTTTTCTATAAATATTTTCATGGCAATTGTTTTCATGAACTTTTGCTTTTAGGTACCTTGACATTGTGAATTTAAACACAGTAATAGATTGATAGCTAAGTTTCAGCATTTTACTATTGAAATTGCAAGATGTAACCATAAGTTCTGTGCTAACAGTTTCTTCTTTCACACTTCTTGCTTGTGGAATTCTCTTCTGACTTCTTGCTTTCCTGTCAACTACAATCTTTAAAAATTTAAATACAATGTCAATCATAATCATCCATTTTGTTGAATCCTTTTCTTTTATTGTAATCTCTCCTCAATAATGTTTTTCTCATATCATTTCACTCTCATTGACCCCCTTGTGTCTTAGTGGCTTTATTACCTTGCTTGGGGTGAAATGATTCAGACTATGGACTTCCTTTTGATGGTTATAGTCATAAGGTTTCAAACATTTATCCTTACCATATTCATTACTAGCAGGCTTTGCCTGCTTGATATTGCTTCGCAAAGTAAGATATATTCACTACTTGAAATCTTTGAAATAAAAATTTTAAATGAACATTTCATTCATAAATTGGCTTGTCATAGTTAAGGGAAATTTTACAAATAGATGCCAACTTGTTGAAGGCCAAGTAAAATGAAAATTTCAAACACATTTCTGTACTATATAAGACAATATTTCTAAAGAGAACTATTTATTATATGAAAATCAAAACAATCCTAAAATAAAAAAACAGTAATGAATGACAGTTAATTAATGAAATAAACTTTTTTAAAATCAATAAACCTGAAGAGTGATATTGCCTAGAAGTAAATAATATATAATACAGATATTGATCTTTTAATGAAAATTACTCTCTCTCTCTCTCTTGAGTGGTCTGTAACACATTACTTATCATCTCTAAGTTGCAACTCTGTCCTTGGGCAGAGTGCACTCAGGGGCAACTCCATCAAAGAACAGAGTCACAGCTGAGGAAAATTAAACTGAGAGGTGCTGGCCCTGGAGAACAGCTGCCTGAGGCTGCGCCCTCTCATTGTATTAGAGAGAGGGACTGTTGCGGGATCTGCAGGCAATTTTTGTTCCTTGCCTGGGCGTATTTGCTCAGTTCGCAACCTTAGAGTATGACCTTGTGTCACAACTCATCTTAGTGGGGAGGCAGAGTAAATACCTAGTGTAAACAGCTCTCTGGTATACACATTCTGATACTTACCGGGCACAGGGATTCGTCCATGTGCTGGCAGTATCGTGACTATGACTAGATTGGACTGGCTCTGACCAGCTTAGGGCCAGCTCTGATTAGCTTGGACAAGCTATGACTAGATAAGATCAGCAGTCCAATTGAAGGTACTCAGGTCCCCAGGTTAAAAACTGACCTTGTGTCACAACATGACTCAGTGGGTGGGGTCAAGTAAATCTCTGCTCTATCGAGTGGTTTGTAAGACCCTATTAATCATCTCTCAGTTGCATCTCTGTCTTTGGGCAGAGTGCACTCAGGGGTGGCTCCATCAAATGTCAGAGTCACAACTGAGGAAAATTATACTGAGAGGTGTCCAGCTTTGGGAAACTGCTGCCCGAGGCTGCACACTCTCATTGCACCAGAGAGAGGGATCGGTGCTTGCACTAAGGCCAGCACAGTCGATGGTTGCAGAGGCTGCAGGCAATTTTTATTCCTAGCGCAGGTGTATCCTCTTGTGTCACAAATCTTAGTGGGGAGACAGAGTAAATACATAGTTTGTAACACCCTATTTATCATCTTTCAGTTGTGTTTCTGTCTTTGGGCAGAGTGCACTCAGGGGCAGCTCCGTTGCAACTGTGGAAAATTATAGTGAGAGGTGCTGGCCCTGGGGAAAGAAAAATCTATTATCCATTCTCCTTAAAACAAAAGTCTTTCTTTTCTTCATCTTATGCATTTTTTACAATTGAACAGCCTTCTTGTCCATGGTCACTTCAAAATAGTAATTAATTTTTTCTTACCACTTGTATCCAAGGGAATCTGAATTAATGTTTGGATATAACATTTTTCTGGATGACAGTCACAAAAATTATAATAAACGAACATGTGGGGATACTTTTTTTCTGGCTTATTCAAAACAGATGTTTTTTTTTCTTTGTCCAGAGGGACCATTAATGTTATTTCGGTGACCACTCAGATTTCTTTATTGATAACATTTTATTTGACATCTTCCTAGATACCTTAAAAGTTTCTTTCTTATTGGCAGGAAGTGGAGAAGGATGGGTAGTCTTGCTTTGCTTAATCCTGCTGAATTTCATCTAGTTAATCCTGGTTTGATTCTCCTTGGAATTATCTCAAAAAAGATTTTTCAATGCATTTCATTTTTAATTTTCTTCTCAACTCTTCAATCCATCTTCGTGCAATTTCAACAATTATCATCCAGTTAGAAGACTCTCTCTCTGCTTCCTTCTTTCTTTCTTTCTCTTTCTTTTTTTTTTTTTTATTGATCAACCTTCAGAGATCCTAGCATAGCATATAAATGCTTTGTAATGTTAATCTTACTTCTTCATTGCATTTTCTGTTTAAATACATAAAACATACAAAATTTTAAGGTTTTTACATTGCATTAAAATAACATAAAAATGATGTAAATAAATATAACAATTTTTGCTTGGGTGCTAATTACAAGTTTTCATCTTGAATTCAATGACTATTACATCTTGTCCACTAGTGTTATAAAGAAAAGAATATTGTTGCATAGTTGAGATCAGAAAAGAAAAAAAAGGAATATAACTATAGTTTATTATTTGAGTGATATCTGCTTGTAAAAACTTTGTAGCCTAACTGATAAGATAATAATAAAACCAGTTTCTAAGAAAAAGATATGTGAGTTCAAATCTAGCTGGAGGTATTTTTTTAATTTCCTATTTTCACTGCTTATTTAAGAGGTGTAAGATGATGACAGAGATACTGTGGAGTAATGGATAGTGGCTCAGATTGAGGAATCAGAGAGCCAAGTTAGAATTTCAGTCAAATCCATTACCTTCACTTATATGCAAGGAAAAAGGAAAGGTATGAATCCTCTTCTTCTCCCCCCAGCTATGGGTAAATAACAGGACAGACTGAGTTCTATAGCCTTGGATGGCAACTGGTCTACCGCAGAAAGAAATGGCAACCTACTGCAGGGAAAAAAAAAACTGCCTCGTCAGTCATGTATCGAAAGATACATGATCACCTAGCATGTATCACACATGGCATGTAACTGACTGAAGATGATGAAATGAGAAGAATAAGATGAAAGAAAGGCTTGTCAAAACTCTATTCTATAATATAAAATGCAATAAGATCATAGCTTTAGATCAGTGGATCTCAACCTTTTTTTACCCATGGACCCCTTTCCCCTTCTTTTTATCTTGGTGGACCCCTTCATAGCTATTGGACATAAGAACAATTTTCTATTCTTCACTAATATAAATTTTAAGGTTTTAATTATCAAAGAAATAGTATATGATTAAGCTTTATTTTTAAATGAAAACTAATTTAATACAAATAAAATATTCTACTATAATTATAATAATAATTATTATTACTATTTTTAATTAACACAACAATTGAGTTTTGCCTGTGGACCCCCGGAAATATTACATGGACCCCGGTTGAGAACCACTGCTTTAGATTGATTTCTTTTTCCTATTTATGGGATATTCTGTTGTTATGGCAACATGAGTCATTATTCTGCATCAGTATGTGAACATGCCTTATGTTACCATAACAATAGAATATGTCATAATTTAGTAAGTTGAATTTACATATTTATAGGTTACCATGGAATTTGAGTTGAATTCTTGTTGAATTTACATATTTATAGGTTACCATGGAATTTGAGTTGAATTCTTGTTGAATTTATATATTTATAGGCTACTATGGGATTTGAGTTGAATTCTTGTTGAATTTACATATTTATAGGTTACCATGGGATTTGAGTTGAATTCTTGTTGAATTTACATATTTATAGGTTACCATGGAATTTGAGTTGAATTCTTGTTGAATTTATATATTTTTAGGCTACCATGGGATTTGAGTTGAATTCTTGTTGAATTTACATATTTATAGGTTACCATGGAATTTGAGTTGAATTCTTGTTGAATTTACATCTTTCTTCCAAATTCCTGTAGTTTGATTTCTAAACCAAACAAGAGATTTTCTTGCTTCCAATCCAACTTTGATTTTCAAAAATTTAAATACAATGTCAATCATTATCCTCTGTCATCTTAATTCCTGTTCTTTTTTTTTCTCTCTCTTTCATAATGTTATCTTTTATCTCATATTCTCTCACACCCAGTAACCCCTTACATCTTAGTGGTTTTATTGCCTTGCTTGGGGTGAAATGATAAAAAAAAACAATGTAAAAATTATTACAGAAATTAGAAGAATCAATTACCAATTATTATTATTATTATTATAATCATTTAGAATTCAGAATGTTGCCAGACGGAAATTTATCAGGGAAGAATGGGTTTCTCATGAATGCTTTGAATTTATTGTTGCTGGAATTAGAAATTGGTGTAGAGCAGTGCTTCTCAAACTATCTGATATGGCGGACTGGTATTTTTTCTCAATGTATCATGTACCTGTAATATTTCATGGTAATATTAATTTATACCGGAAACGATATATATATAATGAATATAATAAAAGTTGACTGTTTTCTATCTTCCATTTATTTTGCAAAAAATAATTCAATATAAAGAGTAATAAAAAAAATAAGCTTCAAATGATTACTTAGCATAGCCTGGACACTGACTGCATACCGGTAACTGATGGTTTGTGTACTGGACACTGACTGCATACCGGTAACTGATGGTTTGTGTACTGGACACTGACTGCATACCGGTAACTGATGGTTTGTGTACTGGACACTGACTGCATACCGGTAACTGATGGTTTGTGTACTGGACACTGACTGCATACCGGTAACTGATGGTTTGTGTACTGGACACTGACTGCATACCGGTAACTGATGGTTTGTGTACTGGACACTGACTGCATACCGGTAACTGATGGTTTGTGTACTGGACACTGACTGCATACCGGTAACTGATGGTTTGTGTACTGGACACTGACTGCATACCGGTAACTGATGGTTTGTGTACTGGACACTGACTGCATACCGGTAACTGATGGTTTGTGTACTGGAACTTTGAGCAGCACTGATGTAAAGGCCATTGGATTTTAATTAATGATGTATATATTTTATGAATTGGTATTTAAAAATATTTTCTTTTTGTTTTTGTTACAGATTGCAGTTGTCTTGTTAGCGAGGACTCAAGTGAAATTTATGCGCTACAAACGAATTGTAGTCCCACCCCCAGCATCACTTTGATGACATTTAGCCAAATAAGAAAGAAAAAAAATTCATACCCATTAAAATTGCAGAATGAAATATCTCCTGTCTTTTTTATTTAAATTCTAGAAAAAACAAAGGAAAAGCATCATCTGCAAAGGAAAGGTATTTAGAAAAAAAAAATAAATAAATTACTGTCATCTTACGAATCAAGGGGAAAAAATCACTTATATTGTCTGTTGAACAAAGAACACTGCTTCCCTTTTTCTGGGGTCATATCAAAAGAATTTTTCCTGATACTCAAAACTGAAGGAAGTGTACTAGAAAGAAACCCTGTTTTCTTTACAATATTTAGACTCTGATTTGCTGTGATGAAACACATGCCATTTATGGCAACCTGGGCAGAAATATCTTCCCTGTGGAACACATAAGGCCCCAGGAATTGCCAGAGAAATGTCCAGTTTATTTATTTATTTATATGTTATGTTTTTTGTATTTGTCCACATAACACCTGGCTGAAATGACAGGATCTCTGATAGTAACAAATTGGAAATGTTTTTTTTATATAAAAAAATGTTTATTGGTGTCATTAATTATAAATATCAAACCAAATTTATATATTCTGACATTTATTTCATTATTTAATGTTTTTTGTTTGTTTTTTTATTATCATTTTATCTAAAAAATACAACCACATTATTGTTCTGTATCTATCATATACTACCATAGATTTGGACTAATTATATGGTAGTTATAATCATGTTATCATTATATCCCTTAATAACATTTTATTTCATTATTCATTTTTGACTAGTTTATCTTTCATTTTATTTCTGTTTTTTATTGCAGATGATTTTTATATGCAATAACTGTTACAAATGGATCAAGAATAAAGATTGAACTCACAGCCCCTATCCTTGGGAACCTGTCTGATATAGACAAAACTTATATTAATTTGGCCATGGAGATTGCCAAACAGAAGGTGCCATCTATAGCAGACAGGCACCGAAACAAATTCCACTTCTTTATTTCCAATCCATGCTGCTTATTTAATGGTGTTAGAATATAAATTGACCTGAATGTTGTGATAAAAAGCTACAAACACAATATGAAAGGTAAACTAGTCAAAAATTAATAAGGAAAATGCTAAGAAATTCACACAACTTATTTGATCATATTTTTTTATTTGAGATTCATATCTTTTTACATTCTTTTAATTTTTTTAACTTATGAAATTCATATGATATAAATATTTATTATAAATTAATTAGATGTAATATTATGTCTTTATTGTTATTTTTATTCAGTTTTTTTCTTTTTGGATATCATTGTATCTTTTAAATGAATTTCTGGTCAAGAGTCAAACATTGTGATTGACAAATGAGTTGTAATTATTCCATGACAATTCACCCAACAGTTTTCAAAACAATTTTATTTAATTTCTTATTATTTCTTATTTTTTGTCATCGCTGAGGCTGTGCACATGATAAATCATTTTTAGATCATATAAAGTTTCACTCATTAGAATATACAATATATCCAATTGTATTTATCTAAGTGAAGTGTCCTAACAATTAATTTTTTTTCAATTTATTTAAATATTTTTATTATTTATATTATTATTAGTAGTAGTACTTACTAAGTTTTCACATCCGTAGTAGATGGTTGTTTTCACTGCAAGTTAGGTGAAAGTAAGTTTTTTTTTAATAATCCATCACTATTATTATTATTTAATTTCACTATTATTATTTTTATTATTATTATTATTATTTCATGCATTTGCATGTTCATATCGGATGGCTACTGATCACTGTAGACTGAAATACAACAATTCTCTGCAAATTTTCAGCATCCTTCTCAGTATCCATGCAAATCCCTGCAATGTCATGGGCTGTACAGTCTCAAATTTCCCTGTTATTATTATTTCCATAATTTGAAAACAATTTTCCTATTCTTAAATTTATCTTAGCTTTAAGCATCAGTATTTAGTAAGCTGGCTAAATAGAATATTATAAAAGAATATTGTGTGATACAAATGGTACAAAATAATAAATAAAAATAAATTATTCTGTCTCAGAAATATCTGTGTTTTTTAGATTATTATCTGCATCATTGTTGTTTTTAACACAACATTTCAGCTGATATCTTCAGGCTTTTCATGTGTATGTTGCATCGAGTGATACTTAGTGGTCACTTTTAATGACCATCAGATGAAATATATTGATGGGAAAGACTAGAGATTGTATCAGGCACAATATTATGTTGTAAAAACAACAAATGATGAAGGCAGAAGTTACAAAAATATTTAGAATGATGAAAATGTATCACCTTGAAATTTCACAAAACACTTGTATTTGATGATATGGCCCAATCTAAAAGTGTTCAACAATTTTGCTTTTATGGTCAATATTCAAAAGGTAAGATAAATACGTTAATTTCAATACAGGTTGATAAATATCAGGTGGATTTGTTTAAGGGGAGAACATACATACATACATATATATATATATATATATATATATATATATATATATATATATATATATATATGTTTTAATGTTCTAACATATACACAAATATTTATGTGTATTATATGTGCATAAGGTTATGTATATGCATATATAAGATAATATATATATATATATATATTTCAAATAAGCAATTTTATATATATATATATATATATATATATATATATATATGTTTTAATGTTCTAACATATACACAAATATTTATGTGTATTATATGTGCATAAGGTTATGTATATGCATATATAAGATAATATATACATATATATATTTCAAATAAGCAATTTTATATATATATATATATATATATATATATATATATATAAATATGCAACGTATAAATATGCATTAAGCTTTTTATTTAATTTTTCTCGTGTTCAAAGAAGTGTTTTCTTTTCTAGACACAGAGTGTGTAGAAACTGTTCAAATGTTTTATAGTTTCGAGCGCTTTCGGCTATACTTTTAGCCATTATCAAGGATGATTTTATTTTTGCTTTATCATTGGGTATATGGGTTATGCGTATGTTTTTACATACGCACAACACACTCTGTGTCCAAAAAACAAAATGCTTGTTTGAACACAAGAAAGATTAAATAAAAAGCTAGTACCTTGTCTGTTGTCTTTAATGAAACATGTATAAATGAAGGATTTCTGCCTAAATTCACAATATATATATATATATATATATATATATATATATATATATATATATATATATATATATATATATATATATATATATGTTTATGTATGTATGTATATGTATATAGATATATATATATAATTGGGGGTGCTGAAAAAATTCTTTGTGTTACTTTCCAAAATTTGACCAGATGACACAATATCACATTTTCTTTTGGAATCATTTCTTCGTCAGCTTGAGAACATTTCAGCACTTAGTCCTATTCCTGTGTATGTATGTTTATACACATAAATACACATGTGTATATAACAGAATATTATATATATTTGTATGTGTAAATTGCCAATACATACATTAATCGAAAATATTCTTCAGTCAGAATCATTAAAGACAATGCCTTATTGAGGCATTAAATATGAAAAAAAAATGCTTGTTTTAATGCTAAACTGTATTTGCATTTATTTATCCTAATATTATACTTAAAAGTGTGCAATCAAGAACCAGGGCACTTCTTTCTACCCAGGACATAAATTCTAACTTCAGCTTCTCCCACAATTGTACTATTAAACTTACTGGGTTTATAAAATCCAAGAGTAGATTTTTTAGCACTGTAATGAGTTCAGACACATAACTGGAAAAGAGCTGCTACCAAATTAAGAAATTTATCAATGCATATCATAAAATGCACCTCACACAAATGCACACACACATATATCACTATGTATGCTTATAAACCCGATGCTCTCTCAGATAGGAAGGCAGAAAAGTCCAGTATGGCGCTCTAATAACTTCCATGTTTTGTGACCAACTAGTTCATATTTAAATGATTCATACAAAGAAATATGCATAAGTTGACAGATATTAAAAATGCTGTCTTTTAAATGTCAGAATATCTTGCTGCCTGATTGTCATTTTGTTAAACAACTAGTTGGTCCTACAAAATTTATTCTTCACCCTTTGCATATACTACTCTTTTTTGTTTTCCTTTTTTGAAGAGTTACAGTATGTTTCACATGCTAATACGACAGCCTATGTAAATAACTCAGAATATTTCAATTCAGTAAAACCACAACTGTCATAACATTAATTTATCACTTGTGAAAGTTGAATACAAAATTCAAACATTTTTCCCCTGTTTTTGTTTCTGCACTGCCTTTCCAAAATTTGACAGCTTTAAATCTTGTTAAGTCAGCATCTGTTTTTCAACTATGGCTCCCGTCTCTCAAGCTTTACTTCACTGTCTATATGGATAATTATCAATACCTACCTCTTTTTATTGTTCTGGTGCATAACACATAAAAGTTCTTCTCTAAATTTTATTTGACCAGAGGAACCTTCCTCTGATTTCACAAAATGACATTATCAGATCATCTGTGAAAGAAAAGAAACTGAAATTTTGGATTTCTTTCATTTGTTTTGTATTTTGTTTTCTTTGTTTTTAATTAACACTTCTATTATTTTTCAAAAGCATATTACTAATATTATTACAACAACAGGCTATTTCCAAAATATATATTTTGTTAATGGTAGCTATGGTTACAAGCTGAAAGTTAATTAAATATTTCATAAGTACCAATATTATCCTACAGTTAAGTTTCTGTTGAAATTGTGTTTTTAATTTTTTAAGTGTTCAAAATGTCTTATTTTTGCAACAAAGCAGTTCAGATGAGAATGGATAAAAAAAAAACTAATAATAAAATTAAGAAATCTATTCTTACAACTTTTCTTTATTATGAAAAGTGAAATGCCATTTTGTAATCATGTTTATTTTATTTTATTACCGATTCCTACCAATTATCATTATTTTTGGTTGTTCTTTTTAAAATTATTTTTTCCTTTTTCTTCAAAGAGATTTTTCATTCTTACT